TTGGCCACCTGTCCCTTGCTGGCTGCTGCGTGAAGCCAGACGTGGGACCAAGTCAGGGGCTTTTCTGAAAAGGCTGAGGAGGAACCGCAGCCCGATATTGCGGGGTGGGGAAGAGCCTGGCAGAAAAAGGCTGAGCCCGGCAGCATCCACGAGGTCAACTTTTCTAGCAAGGCTTCCTCCCTTTGACTCCTGCCCAGTAACATACGGCGTGGGGGGCTGGACCACCCGGAGGGCCACCTCTGGGACCATGTGCCGTGCCCAGTCTAGCATCCAAAAATGTCTTTGTTTCCAGAACAGGAGGGCTCACTTTTGCACCGACAGCACTGGGCGCACCTTTCCAACCCTGCCTCCTAGGCCGGGAGAGCGCTTTCTTTCTCTCCTAACAAATGCCGAGCTTTTCCTCAATCGCACTGAATGCAGTGGGAAAGATGGAGGGTCCCCCCCACCCCCGCTGCGGAATTCAACCCTACGTGAAAAGCGAAAAGCGCTGCTTCCGGTGCGAGCCGAGAGGCCGGGCGCCTGGTCCTCCGAGTGCCTTTCCCAAGCAACCCGTCAATCGCGTCTTGTTCTCCGGGCTGGGAGAGCCTTGTTTACCCTCTTCCTCTCTGCACTGCAGGCATTAACACAGAGGGGCAGCTCCTTTCAGCATCCAAACGGCGGTTCTGCCTCCCGATGGCGAAGGCAGGCCTGAACCGATTCCAGCTGCCCATAACCCCATTAGTCTGGATCTCAAAGCTGGGTTCAAAATAATTAGTGCTTGAATCAGGAGAAACAGGCAGGCTTAGTGCCTGGCATCGCCTCCAGCAACAGCCCATTCATAAATGTCATTATGGCGCATAATTGGGTCCCTGAAGGAGCTGTGGTTGCTATTTATTTATTTTTAAGGCGTGTGTGTGGACTCTTGCTGCCATTGGAAGCCGGAAAGGGAGGGAGGAGCGCTAAAATGGCAGGTGCACGGAATTGCAAAGGCGTTCCTTCGAATGGAGGAAAGGCCCCAAGGCCCAAGATGCCTTCTGGCCACGAGTCCCACACACCCTGACGGCTCCGCGGGGCCCTCAGGCTGCAACTAGCACACCATGAAAGCCAAGGCGGCCAAGCGAGAGAGCTGCGGCACGGGTGGGCATCTCCTGGGGAGCACAAGTCCCAGCAGCCACCACTGGCCCTCGCTTCTCACAGCAAAGAACTCTGCCAGAAGGGCGTCATGCCCTGCATAAAGAGGTTTCTTCCCCATGTATGCTCCAACCATTTGCTTTGTCTGTAAGACTGGGCAACCACATGTTGGGGATTACATGAGCAGAGCTGGCTGCAGCTGGGGGTCAGACTAGATGGCCAGGGGGACCCCTTCTGACTCGCTTCGCTTCTATGCTTCATTCAGCAGCACTGATGTCACTGGCTGACCCCAAGCTTATTCGACTGTCTGACTGATTGAATGGCACCCTGCCTTTTTTCCGAGAACCCTCAAAACAACTCCTGGTTTTGAGAGACACGGAGAAGCCAAGCCTTCTCCGAGCACCAGTCATGAGGAATCCTTGTGGAATCCACGGCCAAGCTTGGCAGAGGCCGCCTCCATCCTCTGCTCCAGTGAGTCCACCCACCCACCCACCCACGGAACTGGAAGGGCTTCTCCTCCAGAGCTGCCGTGCCTCGAAGATGGCCCTGGGCACTCCATACGTTTCCAAAAGCACCTCTGCACAACGGCACCGCTTTTTATGACCAGCTTTCCTCTAAGGAGCTCAGAGCAGCATCCGGGGTCCCCCATCCACGTTTCATCATCTTGTGAGGCAGAATCAGCTGCGAAAAAGTGACCTTCCCCTTGTCACCCAGTGGACTTGGCAGCTGAGAGGAGGTCCAGGCCTGGATCCCCCCATACCTGGCATGAATTCTAACCACCACCCCGCCGGGCCATCATTTTGGCCTCAGTCTCTCCATCTGAGCTTGCAAGATAATCCCGTCTGGTTATTAATCCTTTTGGTTCCCAAGAGGCAACAATGGCTCTAGTGTCACAAGTGCAGACAGTGGCGAGTAAAACCAGTCAAGATTCCTAGAAACTTGCAGAGCGGTATGTGACGGCTTGAGTATTTCCTTAGAAATGGGGCGTTCAAAGTCATTTCATTTTCTGCAGCAAATGCTATTAACAAAACCATACTCCAGAGTTGCCATCTGGAAGAAGAAATGCCACTAGCAGAATCTGAGATGCACACTGCTCCGAACCGGACAGACCCGGGCTACCGCGAGAATCTATTTCAACTCAGCCTTGTTTCCAGTCTAGGTACAATTTCGCCAATTTGCGGGTTATGCAAGGATAGGCAGAAGCTGTTGAGCTCCAAGCAGAACTACGATGGGGTGATGCAAAGCTGTCACCTGAAGTGGCAGGTTCTAAGCAGAGTCAGAGACGCACGGATCTAACCTTGTGGGCACTGTTTCTTTGGGAAGACTTCCCCACAAAAGGCCCCCCGAAATGAAGGAAGTAGCACAAGCTAAGGATCACACAAACCCACAAAGTCAGGTCCTCCTGAAGACTGACCCTTCGGGCTTTCACCAAACACTTTGCAAAAAACACAGCGAAGGTAACTTCCTCCATCTGAAAATTTATGTTTTTTACGGGAAATGAGCATTGATGCCAATATCCAGGGATGCAAAGGCAGCTGTGTCCAGAGCGGCAGTAAGCCAGCTTGAGTGGGCTAATCGTTCTGGGCAAAGTCTGGCCAGGGCAAACCCTGCCAGATTTTGAACACATTCCTAGGGCACTGTTTTATTCATTTAATTTGTTCGCTGTGCCGGAATCTGTTGAGATAAGCAGCACTGAGACGCTGTACTTGAAACAAGCAAGCCCAGAAATAATTTGCAGTAAATGGTAAAAAAAAATTGGCATCTCCACCTGCTTTTATTTATTAAAAGCTTTTCTATCCTGCCCCCTACAAACATCTCAGGATGTTTTCCCTAAAGTCCTATTTTTCCAATGGAACGATTACCCCCTCCACCTCCAAAACACCCCCAGCTGAGCTTCATGGGGCATGAAGCACTAAATTCATGATAATGGTGCCCACATTTTTGCTTCTGAATTCCCCAGCTTGCTGAGCCCTTGTATCTGTACTTCTGCCACACCTCATGTAGATTTTTGTCTTTTAGGGAAGGGGCAGACCCCCCCCCCCACAACATCAGGCTACCCCACCCATGAGACTTAAACCTTGGGGTGCTGGAGCCCTGCCCAGCCTAGCCAACAGTGCAACACCCCAGCTTTTATCTTTACACTTCGGAGCAGGACGGACCAGCACAGAAACCCTTCCCAAAGAGCCCCTCCAGGTAAGGTGCCGCACTCTCTTAAATGGTACCCAAAGCAAAGCAAGGACTGCAGTCCCCCAACAACCCTCTCCTGGCAGACACAGCATAGAAAAAGCTTTCTGCCTTCCCCAAACACCCTTTCCAAGCCTCCCAGTACACGGCCAGTACCTGCGTGTGGAGGTTTTGTGCCTTCGGGTCTGCTGTGTTTGGCTGGCTACTGGTCAGCTGCTCCTGCTCCAGGTGATGCAGAGGGGTTAATTGGAGGCCCCTCAGCTGGCTCGCGTTTGCCAAAGGAGGCTTCTCTGCCCCATCGCCTGCGTTCCTGCTTTAGCAGCAGCTACTGGCCCAGGCCTTTCTGTCAGTGCTCACAACTCGAGCGTAAGGAGCCAGCAATTTAGCAGGGAAAGGTAGGAAGCAAATACATTATTCACCAGCCTAGAGGGAAATGAGATGCAATGTAGACAGAAATGAGGCAGAATCTGATCCTGGACCTCTAACCAAGCTGTGCCTTACCATTTCCTTTCCCTGCAGTCATTCCCTGATGGTAATGAAAGCACTCTGCCTGCTCTCAGAGGCACACATGCCCCAAGGATGAGGGCTCCTGCTAGGAAAACACGGGAGGCCTGGTTTCTCCTTCCTAGAACATGAAAAGGTGGCTGGGTGCACAGCTTTGCTTCGCGCGGCTTTGCGCCTGCTCTCTGCTTTCGGTGGCGCATGCTTGGCATGCGCTCCGAGTGGGCAGCCCTCACACCGTTTCAAGCGTGGACCGTGTGCAGTGGAGACGTGCTCCAGGGTGCGCCACATGTCTTGCAGCTGCAGCGCTCGTAAGGCCCCGTTTGGAGTCTCGGCCCGCTTCTGAATCACCTCGGGTACTTTTGGCCCAGAGAGGCATAGATGCTCTTCTCTGGGGGGTTACGACACAATTCCACAGACCCGCAAGCGCTGTTGTGCGCAGAACAGCTTAGAGCCAGCATGCTGGGGCAGTGCAATTGGGTTGCCTGCAAGAAGCCCCCCGTTTTATGCAACACCCCCACAGAGGGCTGGGATGGGGAAGGTGCACTGGGGGTGCAGGTCCTCTGGCGTGTAATTTCCAGAAATGCCCAGGGCAGAAACGCCCCGCTCCCCCATCGCCCGCAGCAGCGGCCATTCCAGTGGCAGAGAGCGCTGAGCGGGGAAGCCGGGCCTTTCCGCCGGCCCTGCCGAAAGACCACTGGCTTTCCCAGCGCCTCCCTTCTCCTTTCGTGCCACGCCTGTTCGGACTGTGGACGCAGGGACTGTCTCGCTCCTGCTGGCGGCATGCAAGCCACTCCAGCACCCTCTTTGGCTGAAGAAGGAAAAACAGTATAGACAGAGCGAGAAATTGGACCCTGCAAACGGGAGTCTCCGCTCGCATGCAAAGCAAAAAAACCGGAATGCAACCTGGGACACTAACCGGGCTGTTTGCACAGATGGGAGAAGACCTTGTAAACAGTGCAGGTGGCGGCATCCTTGGCTTTCCCCTCAAAGGGGGGCTCATTTAGACCCCCTCCAGAAACCGGGCTCCTGCACTTGCTCGCTGGCTATGCTCTCCAGGGCCATCTGGGCAGGTCCAGCATTTGCAAACAGGAAGGGAGTAGAGGCTGCGAAAGGGTTGCCCGCGTATAAAACTCTCTCCAGAAAACTCACGATCAGGCCGAAAGAGACGCAATGAAATGATGAGCAGGCGCACCAATAAACCCTTTCCTTGTTTACTTTGTGTGCGTTTATTTAGTATGTGTGAGCCCGAGATGTGACTGTGGTGAACACACTGAAAAACAGCTGGATTCTTGCACCGAGATGTAAGGTCCAGTTCTGCACACAACAGCGCGCTGAATATCACGGTTAATCCAGTTCATTTTGAGTCGTGTTGAATATATGCTGGTAATACTGGGACTGGTTCCGAGCATCAGCACTTACCCAGCGTTAAGGCGGCAGTGGACAGAACTGGACAAGCCCTTGTGTTAGAGATCGGAGATTCCTTGGAAACAAGGAAGAGAGCTTTAAAAAGTTTTCACAGCCAGGCCCATGATGGGACTATGACAAAAGGCCAATAGGAGAGAAAACGGGAAGAATGTATAACCTCACGCACATCCCTCTCAGTCCATCAAATAGCTTTTCCAGTCTTTGATCTTCAAAAGCACTTTAAGCACGTCACCTTCGGCCTGGTCTGAAAAATACGGGCAGCGCATCGAACACCCATAGAGGCTGCTTTCGTCACAGATGTGAACTTTGCTACAGAAAGTGCTTTGCCTCTCCCAGTCCAAGGAATTCTGTATTCCGAGGAAGTGTTTGCACAGATGGGAACGGAGGGTGTGGAGAGGCGAGGACAAATGATGCTATTGGCACTGAACTTCTGCAAACTCTGGGAAAATGATGCTTTTGTATGTTCTCTCTGGGAGAGGCTGGCCCGGATGAAGGAGGCAGACGTGTGCCGTCACACCTTGCGTGCAGAACGGGGCTGCTGAAAGATCTCGGGGCTGATTTAAGGTCGAGCTTCAGTCAGGACCATTTTGGGGCCTTGGAGTCTTTATGACGCCACAGGCGCCCGGCATCCAAGTCCGTCTTCCTTATCCCCAATATCCCCCCCCCCCCCCCGATCCCTGCACAGGGGCCTTCCAACTGTTCTGTCTCACCAAGGAATGCCCCCAGATTGCCGTTCTGGGTTCTCCCCGCGAGGTCTTCTGCCTGTCCTACTTGTTTGATGCTCCAAATATACAATCAACACCCACAAATTAATGCACTGAATGGAAGCCACAGGAAGTTCGGGGGGGGGGGAAGCTCCTCATCAGAAGCCCTCCCCCACGCCTGGGGTGGTGCGAGTCTTTGTGAAGGTCGGAAGCCCTCCTCCCTCGACCCTCCCACCCCGCCCCCAGCTTCTATCTCAAAAAGGGACCTTTGAAGAGATTGGAGGAAAGTGTAATTAGCAATCAGGCTGAGCGCACATGTCCGATCCAACAATCCTGCCTCGGAGGGCCGGCTGTGTGGGTGGAAGAACATCATCCTGCCTCCTGCTGCCCAGCTTTTCTTGGCCTTCTGCAACCCTTATTTGCTCTTGAGTGCCTTTTGGCGATAGATTTCCTCCGTGAAAGGCCTGGAGAGGGAATTGGGTGGGGGCGTGGGGAGAGGCACATAATTTTGGAGGAAAGGGAAGGGCATGAGAGAAGGGAGAGAGATTGCCGTTAAAACAAGATCATCGCTTTGCTACCATTTCCTCCTGATGCTGAAAGAGCAATCAAAGCCTGGCCCAGACCCTCACTCCGTCTGCCGGGAGGAGACTCTGGAATGCTTCGCTAAGCAAAAACTCTCCGCAGGAAGAACCGGACATCCAGCAGGGGGGTCTGAACCCAGGGAGCTCGTCTTCCGCCCAGCCGAGACCACTGCTGGGCCCTTCTAGTATGGTACTGCTGGCAGTGGCTAACGTCGGGTGCTGGTGCCGCTTGGCTCTCCAGGCAGCGATTTCCCACCTTCTGGGAGCGGGCAGGAGTTCCACCTCAGATCTTCCGCACTGAGCTCTGCGCAGTGTCCCTTTCCCAACAGCCAGAAAATTTTCTGTGTTGTCAACTAGCAATATTTAAGATCTGGTTTAGCTCCAGGTTCAGTGTCTGCAGTTTCTTTAGCAACAAGGCTGAGTCTCTCAGCTTCCGTGGACTTGCAATCCGAATTTTTTCTTCCTGGGGATTCAGGCAAACTTGCCCTAGCGAGTATTAATATTTATCCGTACTTAGGCTGATGGAAACGTGTGCAAATTCACATTAGTGCCAATGTGTATTAGCACAAGTAATACATTCCCATACAGTCCTTAAAAATATTCAGTAACTGGACAATGGAACGAAAGATACCTGCCGATTCACAATCAACAAAGCCGGCTTTGCTTTTAGCAGTCCCGCCAGCATCCTCAAGTGCAAACAGAAACCGAACGCCTTGGACAAAGCTGTTGGTGCAGGGCCCCCGATCCATGCGACATGCCCCAGAATTGAGGTCCAACACCCCCTGCCCTTGAGAACAAATTGTGAGCAGGGGGTACTGTAAGTTCAAGTCAGTGTAAGGGAACTTCCCATTAAGTCCTCTGGAAAATGCATTGGGTTAACTGGCAAAGGCCCCTTCGTATTATTTCCCAGTATTTTGCTTGCCGGGTCTGCAAGCAACTCACCCTTCGTAGTGCAACGCAACCGCATAACACAGCGCCACGGCCGCTGTCAGGACGAGACCAGCTGGGCTTGCGTGCCTGTTAGCAAAGACAGAAGGTAACAAAGAGAGAAAGTGTGTTTTCCGGCTGCTGTTTTGTTATGGTCTTATATAATAAGGTGTTCAGCCAGAGGGACGGAAAGACCGTAATCTCGGCCTCCCCAGAAGAACACCCAACGTTTCGGCTTTGCCCTTGAAGTGTGAACGCAGCCCTGCCTTCCACCCTTTGCTACCCGGCCAAAGCTTCTGGGCGAAAGTTACTGCTCTCCTGGCAAAAGCAGCTGTTTCATCTAACTGGGTTGCCCCCGTTTTGCTAAGCTAAACAAAGCAATTTCACTCAGAGATGGAATGATGAGGGCAGGAGCCTGGAGATGGTGTGGGCTACTTAAGTGCTGAAAATATGCTTATATAAGGCCAGTGCAAACGCGTCATCAGCATCAGCCAGAACCTTCCTGACCATCCAGGGCAGAAATGTAGGCCAAAGAAGCAGCGATTCGCCCTGTGAATGTCCTTCAAGCGGTGCAGATCCAGGAGGAAACCTTGGCTAAGTGGAACGTGCTTCCGAAACGCTCCTCACCCACACGGACCTTGCAGTGGGCCTCCGTTAGGTCTTCTAATTCTTAGTGATGCTTAGTCAAGCTCCAAAAACAAACATCCGAAGCCTTAAAAGGGCATCTTCTTCTCCAAGCTTTTCTCTGCTGTGAAAGCAGGACCCCCAGCTTCCTAATCCCATCCCCAAAGAATGTTTCACGCCTCTTTGTTTAACTGGAGACAGATCAGGTGATGGCAGTGGGCGCAAAGATTGGTGAAAGCGGAGTCAAAAGCTCATAAGAACTGGAAGGCAGTGACCTGGTTCACATGACGCAACAAGCCAGCCTGCGGGTTGAGTGTGGATTGTTGCCAAATCATGGGATGCTGTGTTGTGTGAATCCACCTGGTTTGTAAACCAGAAACAACCCACCATTCAGAGTCTAACAACAACCCCTGGATTCTTCTCATGGGTTGTTTGTGGTTAACAAGCCATGGCTTCTCACACGGAAGGAGAACCATCTGCATGAGTGGCGTGTCAGACAGAAGCTGGGACTGAGGAATCAAGCCAGGAGCCGAGCCAAGCTTCTGGAGCCAGGCGCCAGGACGTGTCCCACCCTGGAGGGGAGCTCTTTATAGCCCTTTCTGCCGACAGCAGCCAGTGGGAAGGCCGGTGCAGACCGCAGATGCCAGGGTGATGCCTCAGGCAGAGTTCCCAGTGGCTTGCCAACCCTCCACAGCGGGGCATCCCTGCCTCCGTCTGTGTTGGTCCCCGATAAGGCAGGTTTCATTCAGTGGAGGCCAGCACTGGCTGCGAGCACCTCCATTTTTAATCGTAGCATCAGGAATGAGCAGCATTTCAAACGGACTCGTTCTGGTGAAAATAAATGGCTCGGCCACTTCTGCTCAGGCGAGGGGCGTGACTCAGGATCAAGAGTCCTTCCACATCCCGAAGGTCCCAGGCTTAGACCGCAGCATCATCCGTGAGCAGGGTGGGGACAGAGCACCTTCAAGAACCTGGAAAGCCGCCTAAGACTGGCCTCTAATCAGCATTAAAACTGGAGCAACTCAGCCAGATAGTCTGACCCATTCTAAATCAGCTCCTTCCCCTTTTTTGCCAGCATTCTGGATCAAACTTTTCCCATTGCAGGACTTCACCGCTCATGACGTGCTTCTTTCTTCAATCAAGGAGCAGTCAACAACAGCTTTTGCGTCTTGAACTGCTCCAAGTCTTGTTTTGATTGATGAAAACTTGATCAATGTCTCCCCTCGAGCTGCAGCAGAGTTAGCAACTAGGGAAATGGGTCACGGCGCAGAGGACAAATGAATGTTGATGACTAAGAAGAAATCAGGTAGCCCCGAGTGACTGCTGAGGCGGCTGGTGCCAGGAAGCGGCTAGCGCAAGCTGCGCAAGCGATGCGTCGGGTGCTGCGGGACGAGGGGGATGGCAGTGGACCATGGGATAAGGTAGTGCCGTGGAAGCAGAAGGTGCCAGGTGAGCAGGCGCTCCGAATGGGTCTGGGCTGGACAGGGCTGTGAGCAGAGTGATCTGCAGGTGCTTGTAGCTAGCCCCGAAGGCAATCGCATCCCAAAAGCAAGCTAACCAGGAGACCCTGGCTCTTAAGGCCACCCTCTTTGTGCAAAGGACTATCTGGACAGAGAGAGGAGGCAGAGTCACAGTGCCGCAGAATTAGACCTCAAGCATGCGGATTTTGCCAATGCATGAAAATCATAGGATAGTAGAGCTGGAAGGTTAGCTCTTGACTGTGGGAAGGCTTGATTCCAGATGGAAGAGCTCCTCCTCTCTTCCTTTCCCAAAAGGCCTGACTTCATCCTCAGGGAGGTTTGTACTGCTGGTGGGAAGTACAGATGGCAGGAACGCCCCGTGGGCCAGAATGGCAGGTGTTACTTAATTGGGCTACGCATTTGGCTTGGCTCACTGGGTCTTCCTCAGACCCCCGTTTTGCAGTATCTCCCCCGAAACCTGAGGTGGTTTGGTTCTCAGCAGTTGTCCATCCAATCTCCCCCATTACCCTTGACATCCTGACTCCTCTCCTTCTCCAACTAGTTTACGTTCCACAACTGAGCTTTCCAACTGGGAACACTGTGTTTGAGAGAAGCAGTTCCATCCCCACATACATCAGCTGCTGGGGAACATGGGTGGGATGCTGCTGGCACACTCCTCCCCTGCTGATGGACTTCTCCCAAGCATCACCTCGGTCACTGTGCGAACTGAATGCTGGACTAGACAGATTCTGGGTCCGATCCGGCACCGGGCTCTTTCTAGGTGCTTAGCAGATGCCAGTGAGTTTTGCGTCCAGAATCTTTTACACTTATCATGACCAAAGCCAAAAGGTGCCCAGGGAGTTTCTCAGAGAGCAGAGGGACCACAACTGCGGGGTGTCGTGGCTGCCACAGGAATTTTGGCAGCTGAGAACCAAGCACCCGGCTAGCGTCCCAATCCACTTCCTTTTGCAAGTCGGCAGGAGCGGTCTGCGTTATTTATTCTCATCGTACGTCACTCGGAGAGCCTTCAAGATCGAAAAGCAGGATAAAAATACTTTAAACAAAAAACCAAATAGCACGTGCGCACACACAGATAGATCAGGATGCTTCTGGCTGGCTCATTGCAATCAACAACAAATTAACCTCACTTATCCGTTGAGCTTCAGAACCACCAGTTAAGTTCTGCTGCACGGAGGCAGTACAAGGGTAATGATGTACATCTCCCCAGTTCTTTCTTGAAAGTCCCTGTTTGATGCAAATCTTCAGCAGAGGCTGATCTTGCCGAACTTAACACAATCTTGCTTCAACCATCTTAATAAACAGCATCCTTTCCTCTTTGAGAGGAAACGTGTGCCGCAAACGGGGAGGCAGAGCTAGGATTTTGTGTAGGGGCGAAGATGGAAAAGGAAGGAGGCATGTTGCCCCGGGTCGCTTTCTGCGTCAGGGCTGGGGGGCAAGGAAGACGCAGGAGGGGGCAGCTTCGCCTGTGGATTGTTCAGAGCAAAAAGAAGGCTGCTGGGCCAGGCCCTCAGCACCAGAAATGTCCCTCTTCCATCCGTGCTCAGTTCTGAAGAAGCTCTCGGAGGACATGTTCCAGGGGCAGGTGGGGCTGGACGCAAAACACGGGGGCCGAGCTAAAATACCCCAAGTACCAGCATGTCCAAATGTAAGCTTCTTGGGGCTGAGACTGTCTGCTCGTCTTTCTACAGAAGATCACCTCTGCGGATAGTCCTGCACTGATTTTTAGAGCCGATGGCCACATTGACCTCTTAGAGGAGATGGCTGAGCCTCATCCATTATGAAAAAAATCACCAAATATTTGGTATTTTTAGTCCATATCCTTGCTGTAAGCTTTTATATGATACTTGATTGTGCCGTATTTCATGATTTCTATTGCAGACTGCCCAGACAACTTTGGCTGTCGGGCAGCGTAGAAATGTAAAATAAAAATTATTCTAAAATCTGATTTTTCTTTCCACGCTTCCCTGTCCCCTCGGTCAGGAAGTGGCAGCCGTTCCACAGGGAGCTTGTTTTACTGAGGTTGCAGAAGGGCACACAGCAGGGTCTTTGTAGTGTGGCACCTTCTCTGTGGAGCCCCTTGACCCTCAAACTTACGCCAGGTTCTTCCCCCATCCTCTCTCCCTCTGCTTTATTCTGGAAAACTCTTTGAAGGAAGGAAGGAAGGGAGGGATATATATAGCCAGAGGGCAAAGCTGAAGCTCATTTTCCAAAAGGTGCTTCATTGCTGCTGAATTTTAAAAGCCAGCAGCTTCGAAATGACACTTGACTCTGTTTTCCGAGAGTCGCTTTGCCTTAATTCGGCCTCCATGCCGCGAATTGCTGCAGGAGCTTGCAGCGAGGCGACTCACGAACTGTATCCATCAGCCAGCGATAAACAAAGAGCAATAATAGAATTAAATGCTGCATCTATTAAACACACTTGTCTATTTTTAACTATCCGGCACTGCGAGGATCCGCATGCCAAGTTCATTAATAGATGGGAAGAGTGCGGCTACCCAAGCCTGCAACATCAGCGAGGGGAGGGTACTTGCCAGACCTCGCGGCCCCCCTGCACCCGGTCATTTGAGCGGAGCTTTAGCCGAGGAAATTGGATCCATTCCCTGGGTCCCTCTGGTGAGGCCGTACGGAACATGTTCCCAGGGAGTGGACGGACACAGCTCGATGTTCGGCTGTCATGGCGATGAGAGATCGGCAGCCGCGGGTGGGTGGGTGGGAGGGAGGCTCCGACTGCTCGTGCCGAAGTGCCTCGCGGCGTCCTGTCCCCCACGCCAGGCCCAAGGGGGGCAGAAACACGCTTCTGCAAAGCCGGAGCAAAGCCGGCCGTGGCTAGCGCTGACCGGCTGATGCCCGTGCCGTCGCAAAGGCAGGGTTTGGCAAGTGCAATTCGAATCCTTCTTCTTAAATAAGTGGAAGATTGCAATTGCTTCATTTATTCACAACGCTAAAATGCAGTCCACATCTATAGAGTTGTTGTTCTGTCGCAAAGTTCTGCCTGACCTGTCCCGACCCCATGGCCAACGTTCCTCCAGGCCTTCCTGTCCTCCACCATCCCTTGGAGTTCAACCAAGCCCACTCCAAATACCCCAGTGGCCCCATCCAGCCCCCTCATCCTCTGCCGCCCCCTTCTCCTTTTGCCGTCAACCCTTCCCAGCATCAGGCTCTTCTCCAGCGAGTCCTTCCCTCTCCTTAGCTGGCCAAAGTGTGTGAGCTCCATCTTCAGGATCTGGCCTTCTACGGAGCAGGCAGGGCTGAACTGGGCCCTGTCCGTGGGGTTTCCATGGCAAGGGCACTGCAGCGGGTTGCCGCCTCCCTCTCCAGCGGGTCACCTTTTGCCAGAGCGCTCTGCTACGGCCAGTCCGTCTTGGATGCCCCTGCACGGCAGAGCTCAGAAGAGCTCCATTGCGCTACGCAAGCCCCTTCGCCACGGCATGAAGGGGCTATACAGAGCACAGAGCGGAAAAATGATGAACGTTATGAATGAGTGTTAGGAGCACCTACTCCCATCCATCTGCTTCTCTGTAGCATAAGGTCAGCCGAGGAGACCTTGCTTCAATTCCCAACATTTCGGGAGGCTGCACTGCCCTCGAACGGAAGCAGGGCCTTCTTGGTCACTGCCCCCGTGCTCTGGGACGCTCCTCCATGGGGTGTGCTCGGGACTGGCCCCTTCTGCTTCTGCAGGAGGTCAGGCCCCTTCTCTGCCTCCTGCTTCTGGTTTCTGTTGCTGTTCTTGCTGGCCCTGGTTTAATCTGGATTATTTTATGTATTCCGTGGTAAACTGCTTTCAGCTTTGCCTGCCATGAGACTGTGGTTCCAAGAACCTCTCTGAAATGGGGCTGAGCCCTCAGGTTGCAAGAGGTCCTGCACTCTGACGCGATGCAGCAACACTTTGAAGCGATTTCTGGAGGCGGTGGAAGGGCTGCGAGCAACAGAAGAATCCACTGGGAGGAGAAGACGAGAGAGAATGAGCCAAGATGTCGTCAAGACACGGAATCTGCTGCCAACGGATGCGGCGGGAGCAAAAGGCAGGCATGTGTGGAACAAGGGGAACAGGAGGCCGGGGGCGAGACACAGGCCCCCGTGTCAGGAGTGCAGACAAGCAGCCTCCGAATCCGACTTGGCAGAGTCTCGAAACAGGACCCGGGACGGTTCCATTGACAAACTGCATCTGCACCTCTTCCAAGCAGCTGTTCTTGCGCAGGCGGCACCGGCCCGCTTCCTCGACGGGTGCTTTGCGAGACCCCATTTTTATTTTACGGAGAGCTGTCTATTGCTACTGTCAGCACGACATGCTTCTTGGTGAGCAGCCCATGGGAACGGCAAAGGTGTGTGCGAGAGAGCCGATGCGTCGCGAGAGCCGGATCTGTCACTATCCGACACGCGCTTTCGGTGCCACCCAAAGGGACGCGGGCGCCCGTCTGACTTGGCTCTGTGCGGCTCACTCTCTCTGATTTAAAGCATACTAGATCCCAACTTCAGAACTGACTAAAAAGGCCCATTAAGAGGTGGAGAAGCAGAACGGGGTGGGGGGGAGGGGTACTGAAAAAAATGGGGATCAGGACCATGGGACGAAAAAGCCAAACTGTGCAGATCGGCACACGCAGACTTCCAGTTACTCGAAAGTCTCTTTTGCTGCGTGTGTCTGTGAGGGAGCCTGTCAGGACCCTACCTGGGCGTGGGCCGGGCAGAGGGGGGCTTCTGCTTTCAGAAGCAGCCTCAGGTAGGAGCATTCAAAAAGGGGGAAAGGAGGGGAAGCAGATACGGGCAAACAGCCGGCTCGTCCAAGGGGGTCAGCTGCAACGAAGACCCCAGAGCACTGCATTTTTGTTGGCTGGCGCAGCAAAAGCCCTCGCTGCCCCCGGCCGCCTCCGCCTTCCCTCTGACGGACTCCTCCCGGGGGCCGCTCCCCTCCGGCCTCAGCTCACACCTCCAGGGGACGGTCCGGAGGGAACCATGCAGGGTGGCCAAGCCGGCCGGGGGACTTACATGATGGACCAGCCCAGGTAGATGGTGGTGCTGCCCCAGTACATGGGATTGTCCAGGATATTGAACGGGAAGGACGTCACCTTCGCCTCCTTGAGGATGCCGAAGTAATCTCCTGCAGGGGAACAGAGGCACACGGGTTCAGGCCGACCGAAGAACCGCCGGAGCAGCTGAGGTCTGGCCCGGCACCCGGCCCAGCTCCCCGCTCTGCCCAGAGGCCCACGGGCCGCCTCCACAAGGCGACGAACGGGCCTCGGCGGTCCTTCACCATTCTCGCCGCCTCGCAAGAGCCGTCCAGGGGCTCCATGCAGCGCTAGCGGTCAATAACCAGGAATAGGTTTATCCCCTGGGCTTTTGCTGAGCCCATTTCAAAGCCACCATGGTAAAAGCCACCGTCACCTCCCGGCAGGTGGGGAATTCTGTGAATTCCGCCTTCTGGGAAGGACTCCCACATTCCTGCTCTCCCGCATCTGGCCACCCGTCAATTCTGATGGATGAGCTGGGCTCTCGCCCACTGCCTTTCTCGTTGCCGCTGTCTTCGCGCCCTGCAGAACTTCATAAATCTCCACCACGCAGGGGAAAGGAGCGCAGCTGAGGGGCAAAACACACACGGGCCAAGGAAACTCCTGCAGAAACCCAGCAGGCTGGGACTGAAACCCAACCCCCGCCTGTCCGCTTCCACACCGCTAGGCTGGATGGTCCCTGACCCGGATTCAGGGTTTAAGGCAACTTCCCATCAGGGGATGCTGGTGACTCCTACGTCAGGAGGGCTCCTCGCCCACCAGAATGTTCATTTATTTATTTGTTTTATACCCCCTTTTTTCTTACAATGAAATCAAAGTGGCTTACATCTTCCTCCTCTCCATCTCATTCCCACAACAACCCTGCGAGGTAGGCTGGTCTGGGTGCCTGTGACTGGCTCAAAGACACCCAGGGGCTCCATGGCTGAGCAGGGACTCGAGAATGGGTTGTCTGGGTCCCAGTCCCATGCGCCTGACCCACACACCAGACTGGCTCTACCCCAGTGTGCACCCCCTCCCTGACCCACCATGAAAGCACTGTGAAACCACACGCCAACAGCTCCTTCTGTCCAGCTTGGCATCTCCAATTTGCCACGTTGGTTTTAAGACCCCCGACAGAGAACCAAGCCAAAAAAAGTGAGCCCAACGCAGCGGGGATCTGTTGGGAACTGTGATTATGACTACTCGCTTTTGTTCTCGATGTTCTTCTAGCTGATGGTTCCAGAGTATGTGGTTTTGTTTAGATCAGATAGCTACAGAAGTCTAGATGAAATATAAAAACATGAAGAAATACATCAGGGAAAACGTGATCGCAGAGAAGAGGGTTAAAATCAATCTCTTCACCAATGCGTGGCATGTCTCGACTGCTTCAGAGGCATCAAAGGAAATGATTTTGGAAACGGTGAGCCAGACTCGGCCATCTCCAGAACTTTAAAAAGACACGAATTCATCACATGGGAGACACTGGTCAAGACGACCAAGGGACACGAGTTATGCAAAACGACCATCTTTCTCGCGATTACACGCAACAAACCCCCCCTAGATCGAGACAGACGCCGCCGCACTGCCGGCTGCAGAGCCGATGCCAGCTGCGTATGGTGACAGACAGCGCCCCTACGGCCATCTGGACCGCTTGCGCTGTCGTGCCACGGCACATCCACACCCGTGGCACCGGCAGCTGCTCGGCTCGGCCGCGCTCGCGCAGTGTGGCGCTGGGGCAGGCGGGCATGTGGCTCGCGGCCGACACCCGGCCTTCGCAGTCTCGGAGCAGCACAGGACGAACGTTCTCTGCGAGGGTTCGTCTCTCGCTGGAACCACATCAGGCTCTCGTCGTCTAGCCGTGGCACCCTCGCGAGCCGATTCCCCGAGTGTCTGGAAAGTGGATTTTGCTCACAAAGGAAGGCTCCTTCCAGTCAAAACCAGCCCTCCAGATGCTTCTCTCCACAGATCTTTGGGCCCTGGGGTGGGCAAGCAGGTTCCTCTCTCATGCTTCCCCGAGTCGGCCACACCACGGCTTGGGCTTCCTCCTTTCTTGCAATTCAGCTGCGTAAGGAGAACTAGGACAAGAACGACTCCACCTTTCACAAGTCCGCTGCATCTCGCAGTCCGAAGACCATCCCCAAGGAAGAGGAAGGGGCAGCTGCCTGCCCAAAGGCTTCCCAGATGAGATTCCTCTCGAGCAAATGCCCTGCCTCATTCACGGAGTCTTATGGGGGCTCCAGCTGGAATGGTCCACCAGTAACCCTCCTTTCCGTTCAGGCTGCCCATTTTTCTATTTCTGTCCCACCTGCGACCTCTTCACCCGCTTCCACCCCCAGCAAGTCTCCCCATTGTCTTGTTCCCCCGTTCCTTCCTCCCTCCTGCCATTTTGTTGTCTGTTAAAGAGGGTTTCTTTCTGGAAAATCTGCAGCCCTTGGGGTTCCTCAGAGACTGCTGATGCGTCCATTTCTGGACTACTGCCCCAAGGTATCTCTTCTGCAGTGCTTTACTGGTGCAAGATGAGTATGTAAGAGAGAGGCAAAGAAACTCAGGGAACCGGAAGCTGCAAAGAGCACACACTGCAATGCAGAGCTAATTCTGGCGTGCTCTTAATCATGCTAACATTACCAATGAGTGGAAGGCACAGCGAACCAGAGCAGAAAATAACAAAGAGAACTGATGCTGGAGAATGGAACGGGGTGTGGATTCATTGATAATTTGGATGCCCGCAGAACTGGATGGATGTCAGAGCTGACAGTCACCGCAGCAGAGATCTGGCTTCAAAACACCAAGCCCTTGTCAGTCTCAGGCCAGATCCTGCAGACGCCGTGTCAATTAGACCCCCCAAGAGCTGCCTGCACAAACTTTGTGGGGCGAATGGAGTCAGTGACTCTGTTGGCATTCAAATGGGAACACACAACACCGATCCAACCCGTCTTGCAGTGACTCAGCGGCCACTGCTGCGATTGCCAAGCAACGGCACATAGTTGGTCCAGCGGGTAAAACTTTTCTGCTGTGTCATTATCCCATTTAGCAGCCACCTGAGGGGAACAAATCGGGCGAGAGCCGTCCGTTCTTGGAAGTTCAAACGGTGTGCATTTGGCGTGTGCGCATTTCACAGCGAGAAATGGAGGAAATTGCAGACTTGTCCCAGGTAGTAATGCCGATAAATTATAGCTCCTTGTTCTCCATGTGATGCCCTTTTAGTTTGCAATCTCAAAACACTTTGCTAATGTTAATTAAGGCTCGATGGACAGCTTTGTACAGAAGTGTCGACTGCACGGCGCGGGGGTGGGAAAATGAACTGGGCCGACGTTTCGTGACTCACCCCCGGCCCGCAATTTGACAAGTCTTTTCATTTACCCAAAGCACTTAGGAGTGCTTCAAACTTGATTCTGTGAACGGCCCAGAGAGTCGCTCTGACTAAGTGGGCAGCGCAGAAATTAATGAACTAAATGGACCTGCACAGCGGCCCCCACGAGGCCGTTGGCTGAGCCTTTCCCTCTTCTTCGTTTGGCCAGACTCGCTTCCTCCTGCTGCATTATCAGAGAGACCCGAACCGCAAAATGGGTGATCACAGGGCGTTGGCCAGGGCTCTGAAAGGCAGGGGGACTGACTGGGGGCCCGAGGGACCCTTCAGCTTTGGCGCGCATCTGAATGCCCCATCCGGCCACCCTGGCAGTATCTTAACTTCCTGCCACGCCAAGAAATCAGGAGGACCGAGAAAGCTCTCCTTGGCTTGCAGTGATGGAGATCAAAGGAATACAGCAGAAAGGACTTCTTTCTCCTTGTCTGGGCCTGTTGCCCTGAGACCATGTCTGCCAGCTTTGTAACTGGGACGAGATGCTCAGGGGCATCCTTTCCTGCTGGGGGTTCTGGGTGTGTGGTCCCCCACCTTCTCAAGGGAACCAGGAAGAGGAGAAATGGCCACCTCTGCATCGTTTTCTTCTCGTCTCATTCGTGTCCTGGTCTCCCAGAGTGCCTGCAATTCTCCACAGAGCAGGCAGCACAGCCCTCGAGGGGGCCGAGGCCATGCAGGGGACGCAAGCGGGCTGGAAAGATGGACCTGGGCAATCCACGGGAGGTCATGAGAGAATCGGCCCGAGGGAGAGGGGCGTAGGCGCAACAGCAGCCAAGCTTCTGGCAGAGCACAGACCCGGGACGTCCGGTGGTTTTCCCAAGGGGCTCCTTGCAGCACGGAGCTCTGGATCCAAGAGCAAGGAGGGTTGGGGGAGAGCTTGTGCTCAGCAACTCTTCTAGCTCCCGACGGATGTTGTCCTTCAGACCGTCAGGAGGTTCCAGGGTCCAAGATCTGCCAGGATCTCTGGCTTTGGCAGGATCTGGGCCTCAGCTGGAGACCAAGGCAACTTGGGGGCAGAGGAAATTCATCAATCCCATGCTCCCTGGCAGGGCAGGTTCTTCCCATGTTCCACTGCAGTCCAAGAGAAGCTTGAGGCTGACTCGGTTCCTCTTTCTCTCTCTCTCAAAGGCCCAGGTTCTGTTTTTATTGGGAAGGGGCTGAGAGCTGGCAGGGAGGGCTGGGGGGCGGCGAGGACAGCCCCCACTTTTGGACAGGACCGAGTTCACAAGGGTCTTGCTTGGAATGGCCGAGGCTTTCAAGGGGCATCAGGAAGGGGCTTTGCCCCGGCTCCTCTTAGGGACAAGGAAACCCAGGAAGGCTCTCCCACTTCTTATGCATGGACTGATACCAACCCCGTGGGTTCCTGCAGTCTGAGCAGCTGCAATCGACTTCACTGGAGACATTTTGCTCTCCGCAGACTTCCATTGTTGCAAGAAAATTGCCCTTCTCCTCCCGGCACGGTTGCATTCTTCACGGCACTTTGCGTATGAACATGTCTTGAAGAGGCTTGGCCCCCTCAGTGAATTGTACATTTTGCATCTTATTCCCCACTGGATTCCAGAACTTAAAGCGAGTAATATGCGAGCCTTCTGATGTCAGACTGGAGGGAATGAAAAGAGAAGCAAACAAAACCCGGGCGGGCGTGGGGGGGCCGCTTGCTGAGCTTTGTTCTTTTAAGAACGGGCAGGCAGCTGCGCTGGTCCATTAGTGGGGCGGGGGGAGGAAATCAGAAGCAACAGGAACGCAATTCCCCTT